GTAAATGCATCACAGTGTAGTACTTGCATAAACTGCCTGATTATAATTTGAATACAAATCTTATTCAGATACATTTAAACTTCAAAGTTTCAGGGAAGCTAAATTTCTCCCGATCTAAAGAATATCTTGCTAAAGTTTGACAGTGAGTATTTTTATGTTATTTACGTTCTTTAGGTTTGCCAGTAGTGTCCTTTTATATAAACTTGGTGAAATGCCTCTCTAATTTTGGCTGAAACAATGGTTTGTCTGTATTTTAATGAGATAACTGTCAAGATAATTTGATAATTATCTACTTACTTTCCGTGGGTGTATAAGGTGATTAAAGTTTCTGCATTCAGTTTTATTGAACAGACCATCCTGCTAATTGAACCTATTGTTTTAGTCTCTTTGGGTCGGTTCTGTACTACTACCTACTCCTCTATACAATGAATAAATGTACTTACTTTCATTGAAGGCATATTCAAACTCCTCCAGTGTTTTAGGGAAGGTGAAAGGAGGTTCATCTTTCTTCATCAGTTCATCTAAATCTATTCTTGACAACAAATCTATAAGCAAAGAAACATGGGAGGTTAAGAAATAAGTTAACACAAATTTAAAACTATATAGTGACCGGGCCCTATATACTATCAACTCCAACCCAACCCAAACCCTCAGCATAGTTGTTCATTCACCTTTGAGTGCAGTGGTTTTCTCCCTGTCCTCCTGGCCAGCGACCTGGGCCATGGTGATCCACAGTATGTACAAGGCTGATGTGGCAGAAAAAAGATGAGAGCGCATAGGTCCGTCCCTCATGCAGATCACTGAGAGGAAACCTGCCATGAGTCAAGGGAAAATATAGAGTAAAAGAAAATAATATGTATGCTGGCTTTTGTATTACACGCATATGTGTAGCTGATAGACACCGTCGTACTTATTGATACATATTAGTAATTGGGTCACTTATTGCTGTCATATATACATGTATTTCTAATTAATTAGCCCAAGGATAAAAAAAACAAACACTTCTATTGTATAGTAAGGACTACTCAGGCAGTTTCCACACGTGCAGCAACCAAGTTAATTATGCACACTCCGCGACATTTTTCTTATTTTCAAAACCGACCAAAGATTTAAGCATTTCTTCACGCCCACTAGGACAGACCCGTGACTTTGTCCACAATAAACAACATCTGTTTGATGTTTCGCAGACTTAAAAAAAAAAAAAAAAAACAGCTGCTCTACTTGGAACAACTGCGAACAGATACACTAAGATATATTCGTCTGTTTATTCACTCATTCACTAAAACCAAACGTCATAGGGAGCTTTACAGAGCACCGGGCTGTTCACTGCAGATGCATGCATACTTTATGTTGAACTCACGCACCATATTTACTCAGCGACTGTCCTGTTGCTGCTGCTTCCTTCAAATTTCTGAAACAGGAAGGACTCTCAGCACAGCAGCAAGGAGCGCGTGAAGCTTCCGGGTTACCGGGGCAACGAACTGGAATGGATATTTAAAGGAACAGTAGCACAGCAGCAGCTGTCGCGACGTGCCGAACAGACAGCAGATACTGTGGCGGAAATATAATTCTGTGTTTTTGTGCTGGACTTCAGGGTGTGCGCTGAGTTCTCTCTCCCTGTCTTTTACAACGTAAAATTCAAATAACATAATGTTGTCTATATAATGTTTAGATCTAAAAACCCTTTACAACTTTCATCCATCTGCAAAGGTTCGAACTTTTATTTAAGTATTTACCAGGTCTGGATAACAATAAGGGGGAAAAAATAAATTGTGGCAAAATGTGTATTCGCTCATTTTGTCCTCTCATCCCTTCGCCATCCGTCCTGATTCATACATGTATATTTAACAACTAAGGTTACATACATGTATCTGGATGTAGATACAAAGCCTACATCCAAATGCTGTAGGCTTTGTATCCAACCTTTAGAGAAATATTGAAAGGGATTCATTGTGAATTTTCATACTCACTTTCAGGACTAAAAACTTTTTCGATCTAGCGTGAAAAAGACATGAATTGCGTACAACAACTTTGTAGCTTTAATATTTTGTAATTCTGTAAGCAAATATTTTCAGTACTGTAACTCTGAGTCTGAAACTGGTGTTATAATAAGTAATGTTAACAACATATTTCTCTGTTGTATAACTGTGTGAATGACTTTTCGTTGGGATCTTTAAGAGAAGTTTGTATGAGTGGCAATAGACAAATCAAAAACAACAACAACAACAACAAAAAATAAATCTGCAAGTCTTTTGTGTCCAAGCAGCCAAAACACTTGGCTGAAAGCTGTGTGCTTTGTGCACTGATAAAAAAAAAAAAAAAAAAAAAAAGTTTTGTGAATAAAAATCAAAATGGAATGTTTTAATTAAAACCACATAAAAGCAAGAGTAAAGTTATTTTTGCTACCAGGAATCTTTGTTTATAGGTGAAGAAAAGTATTCTATGACAAAAATCACAACAAATCAAAACCAAACAAAAACAAGACAATACTTGCTGAATTGTCTGTTTGAAATATGGCAGTTGTCGATCAATTGTTGTTTTGCTGGTATTTGCCAGAAAGTGCAGAACTTGGAATCTGACAAACCACAACCAAACTTCAACACTTGAAAACCAGTGCAACAAAAACCAAGATGTTTTCATCATACAGTATTTATATACAGACTGAAATTTAACATTCGACCTCTGTCAGACTGAACGAAAAGAATCTGTGAATAGCAGTTTTCAAGCTTTGCCAGAGATCCTGCTTTGGATTTAGGTCTGGACTTTAACTGGTTAATTTAAAGACATGACTATCATTTGATTTACTACTGCTTTTCAGTTTTTATGGGTTTTATGGGTTTCTTTCAGCAATGAGTCTCTCCCATGAAGGTCAGATTTATCGAAGGTACAATTATTTAAGTTATAATCTGTCCTTTCAACAGATTGGCTCACCTGAGCTGTAGATCTCTGCAGCTCCTTCAGAGTTACCAAGGGCTTCTTGGCTCTCCTTACCCAGCCTGTTCGTTGAGGTGCACACCCGTGTCTTTGTGTTTTTGCTGTGCCATAATCCTGATGAAGGTTATTGTTATCACATAACCCTGCTTTAAACTTCTCCGCAGCAATATATATAAAGCTTCCTATGAAACAACTGTGACCTTACCGACATGTGCAGTACTTACTGACAGGTAGGAAGAAAATGAAGATCAAAAGTTAGGTTTTGTGTATTTTCAGCAGAAAACTGTTACAAAACAGTTTAGTTTGACTTTTTTTTTCACAACATCCACCAAACAAGTTTTATTATTAGGCCTACATAAAATATAAAATCTATAAAGACACAAGAGTGGTTGTACCATTTTATATATTTCCAGAGTTTCCAGATTTTGTCTCCGTAGTGGTCCCCCACTTTTCATTGTAATATCTCTACATTTACTTTTAATGTTTTTATAGCAACATATTTTTCAGTAGCAATAGTTCATATAGTAGCATTTAAAACTATTGTTTTATTCAGACTAAAGAAAAGGAGCAAATGTTTTCTTTTTTATTTGAAAATTAGATATTACACCATTAAAACGATAATCCAATATATAAAAATGACATCACAGAGATAATACTGTATTATCTAAAAATAAACATAACCATCCTTACTGAAGTACAATTGTGTCTGTATTTTGACGTGTAACATTTTACCTACAGTGCTTCACATAAATAAAAAAATATAGACACATTTAGAAAAATATAATTAGCAGTCATCGTACACATGAATATTTTTCGAGTTTCCACTAAATGCTGACTGATAATTTACGGTGTGGCAGATTTCTGGAACACATCAAAAAATCAAAAACAGGTAATATTTTGCTTCCAAACTATATTGTTTGACGTTTTCTTAAAAGAAAGCAAAAGAAAGCATGCTGACAGTACTCTCTCCACCCACACAGTCTTAAAACACATCAGCTACCTACGGTGATCACACAGTCCTATCTTGTCCCAGACAAACAAATCGCAACTCTTTATTTCCCGGAACTGGTTTCTGCAGATGTGCTCCAAAAAGATGAAAAAGCACCTGATGCAGCATTGAACGGCAGAGAGGATTTGTCTCAGGTGTGTGCAGACAGAGGAAGGCACCAGCTCGTGCTCTTTTTTTTTTGTTTGTTTCTAGTGGAGTTTTTTTTTTTTTTTTTTTTTCCACGTTTTTCTGCACATACATGCAAATTTCCAGTACATGCACAGGCCAACATATTCCCACAAATGTGTGAACTGGGGTGCACGTACATGTCCACAAACAACCACCTTGAGAGCGCCGAGAGAATATAAAAAAAATTACTACATAATAAAAACTCCGACGCTGTGCACTGTTATTGGGCAGTACTTTTATCGCAGGGCTCTGCTTCCCCCTGGGTCTGATTTGTTGGTGTCTCATCAGTTCCAGAGGCATCTTGTGGTCCCGCGCTGCAGCAGCAAACAAAAAAGGCTTTCTGAAGTTCTTCCACCATTGCTCTCTCTCCATCTTCTAGCTCCGCATCCTCCTGCATATCCCACCTGGAGAGCAAAGAGACACAACAACAACAACAGCTGTTATTTTTCAGCAAACAGTTCTGAGGGTTAAATGAAAAACCACATTCAGCAAAATCGTCTGAGTTTGACTCCTATATGTCGTGTTTTGACGCATTAGGACTTTGCCAACATATTCAGTAAGCTCTCAACCAAATTGGTGTTATCTTTCTATATCGCGCCTCTAAATATATCTCACAACCATGAGGCACCACATGCCTGATTTAGACTCAAACTAAACGTTTATCCAAAACTCATTTTGGTGCCAGATTTTGTCGCCGACTTATGTTTGTATACCCAGAATATCTGTTCAACATATGTAAAATCTCAAAGATTGTAAACTCTGTATTACCACACGCATCGGTACACAGAGAAATTGACTGCTCTTGCATTTTAATGTTTTTTTAGAGTCTTTTTTTTGTTTTTTTTGTCTTTTCTCTGAGGAAACATTGTTGCTGACTAATAACACGAACCACACCTTATTCTCAACTAGGACTCCTTTTTTTTTCCCTTTGTGTTTGCAGTTTTAGCTGTGCCAAATTCTGCAATCTTAAACATGTGCACAAAACTAATTCAGAACATTAACTTGCATATTTTCCAACAGTCGAAAAGTTAAAAGAAAATATTTGCTACTGCCTCTCTTTCTACAGTGAGTTGCAAAGGTGCATTTGCTGTTTTAACTTGACAGTGCTCAAAGCCCTTGGACTTTCTTAGTGAACACAGCAGGGAATTGTGAAGATGTTTTGATCAGGATTAGATTATGAGACAAGCCGGGATGTTTCATGGAGAACTGTTCAGTTCACTATCCAAAAAAGGATAGAGTAGTAGGTCAGCTCCTTGTTGTGAACTCCACCAATATAGTATTTATTGAAGAATAGAAAAGAGAAAGTTATTGGTAAAACAAAACTCTAAGAAGTTCAATTTGTTACAAAAGAATGGAAAGTAGGGTGGAGGCTTACCTTCCAACAATATAATGGATCTAAACAGTAAGCTGGGTGTACAATAAAAACGTTTAGCTTTGATCATAGCCTAACAATCTATTGATATGGCCTAGTCAAGGTCAATAATTTGAGATAATCCTTAAAAAGATTTGCAAATTGATATTCACAGAAGATCTCCATCCACTCTAACCGAATCTGAGCTGTTTTACAAAATAGGCAAATTTCTAGTTGATGTCCCAAAAAACTTCACCCAACCTTTATCAAAGTGTTGATATAGGTTGGGTGGGGGACGACGGTGTGGTTTTATTTGTCAAAATCTTTGAAAACAACATATGACCACATCTTTGCATTCAAATTATTCATTACGTTATATTGGTCTTTCACAGTAAATCCCGATAGTCTTACTGAAGGCGCGACGAAATGTAGAAAAATCAATGTTTAAAAGTTATTTTTTCAAGGCACCGTAGGTCAATGTTTTCTACAAGTCTCTCTGATTTCTACCATGGACAAGTTATCATTCAGCATCTTCAGAGCAATCTCAGTTTGGGTAACAAAATTTTACGGAATGAATTGATGCGGCTTCATCCCGTTTAATCGCGTCCACAGTATGTCTTTCTTATACATTTTCTAATTCTTCAAGCTGCAGAGTTGGGTGGAGGGCTTCGATGTGAGGACATCAAGGTTAGTCTCGTTGTAATTCACTCACAGTATTTCGATTGAATCCCTTGACGAGCGACTGTGGTCAATCAAATCCACAAGGATGGGCTGAGGGCCGTCTTTGAGCCGCCGCATTACACTGCCTCCACAAAAGAATTATATCTGTTCGACTGCAAATGATTGCATTTTCGTTGCAATCTTTCCATCCCCTTTTATCCTGCCCTGCCTCCATTCCTATTTCCCTCTACAGCCTCTGTGAAACATGTGCTATATATTTGTGCTTTGTAGATGTGTGTGAAGTGTACAGTGTATATAAGGGGGGAAAGGAGGCAGGAGATGAAGAACA